AGAGGCATCATTTCAGTGGCTTTAAAAAATGCCAGGCTCAGTCTGTACCCGTTCCTCCACCCCCCAATCACCAAAACCTGCTCAATGGAGAGCACAATTCCCAAGGCCCTGGGAAGAGAAACAGATCAATTCAGGTATTATTCTTTGGAGAAATTCCATCAAATGAATGAGAAATCAGCTGGGATGAAATGAAAGCATAAACCTCCTTTGAAGAATGTGACAAAAGTCAAGCTGCTTCAGGAACAGACCTCCTGAAAATACTTGGGAGGTATTTGTTGGGTGTTAAGCGTTCTCAAAGGGTAGCAATAGAATGAGCAAGTGGGAGATAAGGAAATATAAAGTGGAAGAAAAAAATGTAGACTGCTTCTGAGGAATGTTTCTACCCTCCCCAAAAGTAACCTTCAGCATCCAAACTTTCAAACCTCAGAGAAGATTTTCATTGTCAAGAAGTTTCCCAGATCGCCTGCTCCCTTACACAGTTTCCACTAGAACTCTCTGTCACTTGCAATCTGCTGATTAGGGTTAACGTATTGTGTCCTGATATGGCAGATTAAAAATGAAATCAATAAATGCCTAAAACAAATGGGCTTTTGAGATGTCCTATTCAATCCGAGTCTTTAAGGGTGAGGTGAGAGGTGGAAGGGGGAAATCAGGATGGGGTTGGGAAAAAGACCACTTAAGCAATTAATTTCAGTCCAAAATGTCGTGTGGACCAAAGATTTCAAGGTATCTATTCCTTTTTCAGAGATCTGCCTTAAGTAACAAGAATGGCCAGAAGCCGAAAGAGTTTGTGCTGCTGTGACCCTTTGGGGTTTATTGCCTGCATATGTGTGTGCGCGCGCGCACGTGTGTGTGTGTGTGTGTGTGTGTGTGTGTGTGTGTGTGTATTTTCCATTCATTTGTTAAAATCGTACTTTTGGACAAGTGAACGAATCCATAGTATGCGATATTTAAGTGTTCAAGATGTGAACTTGTCTTTCTGAAGGATATTTAAACAAAGTGAGAGAGCCGGGGTCCCGAATCTACCTGATTTCCTAGTCTCTTGAATCCTGTCCCATCAGACAGTAAATTAAAATTAAACTTCACCCTGAGCTATCTGCCCCCTCCCTCCATCCTGTTGGTTGAGATTTCTGAGACCTCACCCATTATTTCAGAGTTGCCACTATCACGAGGGGGAAAAGAGATCTCCGAGGTCATTTCTGCTCTGTTGTAGTGTTCAGAGTTGTCCCTGCTGACTATGTTTCCCATGGAAATAACCTGTGCTATTAAGGTGCAAATTGCAACTTTTAAGTAATGATTGCTAATAGTCTAATGTTTACTGCCACACAAGGACATTCATGAAAACAAAATCTGCATTATTCATCTCCATATTAAATAAACAAAATAAATTGAGGGAGCTGTTCTTTCTTGCAAGGCTCTCCTCAGATCTGGTTGATCGGAAATCCTCTGAGAGTCAGCAAGAAGGAAACATCTAATCGCTTTGAGTGGGCAGGGGCCGAATCTTATAACTTCCATCCATATTATATATTCACAAGATGTGCTCACAAAAGATTTTGTATTCTATTGCAATTGGCTGTCATTAACATAAAAACAGTTCAGGATGGTGAAATAAAATACCATTATACATGTGTGTGCACAGAGACTGAGACAGGCTGTAGGGAATCAAGAGGTAGACTTTAAGTCTACAATCTTACATTTTTAACCACTCTGCATCCTGCAAAATGCAAACAAATCAAAACCCCATTCTGTTTTATTTTACTTTCCTGCTATTTTCTGTATCTTCCCTGAAATGCATACAGGGGGAAAATGCTGGTACTGAATCCTGCAATATTTTCAGGTAATAGTGGATGCATTTTAACGGTGAGTGAAATATACATCCAAGAAAGCAAGCATGCACACACAACGCAAACCCCTGGGGTACGATAGGCTGCTTTCTCAACTTTTTTTTCTTGCCCTAAGTAATAGTATGGTGGAATAGCATAGCTTAAAAAAGCCAGGAAGAATGACATTTCAGAGGAAGATACTCTGATTTAGCTGTTTTCTTAAAGAGAATTGTCCCCTCACATCCCTTCCCCCTGAAGGGGGAAGACTGTAACAAATAAAGACTAAAATTCCTCGTCGCTTACAGTATCATTCTGTTTATTCTATTTAGATACCTGCTTTAGTAGAAAGTTCTGTAATTGATTCCTTGAAACATGGAACTTAAAACTAATAATACAAAGGAATCAAATTGCCTGGAACAGTTCTTGGGAAAAAGAGTGCTCCGGGAGAGCCTCAGCTCTGATCCACTCACAGGCTTTTTCTATCTCCCATTATTCATTAATCAAGCTAGAAATCAAGCTTTCAACATCAGTCCTTGGGTGTAATTACTTACAGTTGTGCATTGTGTTTAATTTTAAGCAGTGATAAAAGTTAGTATGGTCATAATCTTAGAACCCACCTTTTCCCCTTTCCTGGATGTTAACTAGCTACAGAACCCCATAGTGGCTAACTTTACTTGTGAATAACCACTTCAGCTGAAATAGAGTGGGGCATTGATGACCTCAGATGAACAGAAGACACACTGCATGAAAATCTATCTCCTTTATTAATATGTGAGCAAATAAACAAGGTAAGAGGGCCCTCACTGTGTACGAAATGAATTATCCTTTTTCAGCTTAAAAAGGGTTTCCACTTCTTCTGGTGAAAATAATAAGAATCATACAAAACAAACATACAAAAGCAGTAGGAATATAATGGGCCAGAAAACTGAAACTATAGTTGTAAGTTTCTAATACACACACACACACACACATACACATACACACACCAATAAACTAGCCACCACCAACAGATACAGCTTAATGAAAAGAACCTAATTTAAATAATGTGATACAGCATTATGTTACGTACACCTGGATCCTCATCGATCGGAGGATAATTATAATCAAAGTCCAGCAATTCTGAGCAATGCACTTTTTGTAATGAGCTTACTAAAGGAGACATGTCCAGTCATTCTGGTAATTTAAATTACTGCCTAGTTGTTGATAGTCTTTACCGGAACAACAAGGGAAAAAAAAAAAGAGTAATTTTCAGGGCAGTATCACTTCTTGCTGGACCATAGCCCAGGGTTCTCTTTTGGAACAACAATAGGGACGTTATCTCTAATAATGTAGTTACACTTAAACTTATGTTGCCAGAACTACATGCAGCAGGCTCACTCTTCCTGGGTCTCAAAGGCCATTGCACACATCCACACGCTGTAAGATTGCAAAGCAGCCTAAGTTTTAGGAAATAAGCGAGTTAAATGCAGAAAGAGACATTGTTTTCGAAGAAAGTAACCAGAGTCGAAAAAAGAAAACTTCACTGATGAGGCAAATTCCAAATATATACGTCACTAAAAATATTTTAATTATTTTGCTTTTAGGGAAAATATGAATCCACACTGTATCAATATTTCCGCATGCCGCTTGAACATGCCGCTTGAACCAACTTACAAACAGGGAAGCAATTCTGTGCTCAGAAGGAATAATAATTGTGGATATTTCAAAACACCTATGTTGCCATTTGGGCTCGAATCAGGCGAGGAAGGAGGATGAGCTTGGTGATTTGGCACGTTCAGACAAGGGACCCACTCTCTTCAGATTTCTAACTAACTTTGGATTTGTTCTAAGGGTGACTTTGCAAAGTTTACGAAAGTGTTCCACCAAACTTCTCCCTATGTTTTGCTAGAGTTGGAACAGAATGAAATTCGGAGGTGGGTCTGCAGAAGAGCAGCCTTACCTAATGCTGCCTAAATCAAGAGGGCAAAGACAGAGAGAGAAGAAAAAGACAATTAAACAAGCTTTTTGCGAAAGCCCTGATTCAACTAAAGGACACAAAGAAATAAAAACGTCCACATTGAAAGCCAAACAAGATAATAATTGTGCATGTCTGGCTCTGAATATAGAGGGCAAGGTTTGCCTCACTGGCACTCTGAGTTACCATGGTGAGTGATTTATTGATATATATCAAGAATGAATAGATCAAAGGCAGCGAGATGACAGGTGATCAATCAAATGTCAAATCAAAACTAGCAATCAAGTGGAAAGCTGATTTTTCAGTGGGTGGGTCTGGCAGAAGAAAAATGAACTTTCATATTACACTTCCGAGAAACAAAACCCCAGCACACTATTAAAAAAGCAATTAAGCAACCCAAAAAGGGGGGAAAAAAACACCCTTAGAAGGTCTATTGTACTGATCCATTAACCTGTTCCTATCTTTTTTGTGGAGGAATAAGTAAGGGTTCAGATGGGATAGTTCTTATGGTACAAATCATTTCACAAAGTTTGCAACTCTCTGGGCAAAGAAAATCCAGAGCTGTTTAAATTTCTATGGGGCATTTACCACCCTCCCCACTTTATTAAGAGTAGGGAAATTGTTAATTAGATTTGCCAATGTGGATCCTTTTAGACAACATACGCAAAGATTCACCCGTTTCCTGGGGCATTTTGTCCACCTTGGTGATCAACGCTAAACTCCTATTGCTCGCCCCAAAGCCTGCATGCAGCCCGGGTGTTGGGTATGCCTCACACTTCAGTGCCCCAAGCCCCGGTGAGAGGAGACGCTGTCCCTGGAGGCCAGAAGCCACCGGCACTGACCACGCTGAGGGATGCGGAGGTGGAGGGGCTGTCTCCTTACTCCGCACCCCAAATCCTCAACCCGACTTTGGCCCGAGAGGCAAGAAATAGACTGGGAGAAAGTTAGGGGTGGGGTAGAGGGTGGAGGAAAAAAAGTTTAAGGAGGAAAGGCTTGGTGGGATAGCTCCCCGCAACCCAACCGGAGCTTGGAAGGGGAGGATTTGGGAGACCAGAGAAAGCGCGAGAGAGGACGGGTTACTAGAGGGGCACCCGGCGCAAACTCCCCCAAAAGCTTAAGTGGGTGGTGCCCCCGGGCACCCAGGGGCAAAGAGGGCGGGCGAGGAGCGCGGCGCGCAGGGCAGCCCGGGCTGGGCAGCCCCTAAGCCGAGCCGTTTCTCTTACCTGCCGCCCGCTTGGGTGCCTGCTGTTTTCTCCTCGGCATCCTCTACTTCGCTCCAGTCCCACTGCTGGCGCCCCAGCCCCGAGCCGCGCGCCGGGGCCCGCTGTCTCTCTGGCCTCTCTGGGTCTCCTCCGCCTCTTGCCCGGTGGCTCCTAGGACGTCACTCGGCCTCTGTCCCCCTGACGATCCCCCCTGCAACTCCTCCAGCACGGGCCAGAGACCCCCCTCTCTGGGTGGCAGACACGGGTGGCTTGTGCCGGCTGCTTTGAAGTAGAGGTTGGTTCTGCCTTGTTTGTTTGTTTTGGATTTTTTTTT